TGTCTTTCAAGTAAGTTAGCTATGTATTATCAGTATTCAATATCAATCAATTAATATTCTCTATAAGTCACAATGCTACAATTCATTCAGTAGGTATTTCTCAGTTTCCTGGTTAACACAAAAATCCCAAACAACCTCTGAGTCTACTTCAAAAACCAATCAGCCCTTTTGTATGTCATTTGCCTTTGAGCAGATAAGAAGCTTAAAAAAAGTAAAATTACGATGTTTACTCAAAAATTAATCTCCACTGGGCTGATTTGCCGTCAGCCCCTCTCCAACCTGCAGCATCATTTTCAAAGATTCCTTTTTCCTGTTTCCAATGTTTCACTTGTTGTCAATTTCAATTCTTAGATCAATAAATCGAAAGCTCTTATTTCATGAAATATTGAAAAAGCAAGAAGCGAAAGGTAATATCTAATTTCTTATGTAAAGAAAGAATACTGGATTTGTGTAAGGGAGAAAGACATAGGACTAAAGTGCTTTTGACCATGACAAACCAAGCCAATCAAAGCTGATGTATGAAGGCCTGTGAGTCCTTAATGCAGAGCAGAAGCAACACTCTTTGGTACCCAACTGCACAGCAGGACCTGGAGAAACTCCTGCTCTGCATTCAGTAGCTTAGAAATCAGTAGCTGAAGGATCTACCTGGTACAGTGTCCATCAGCTCCATAGGCCTTCTGTTTGCCATGCCCAAGCTCTTCTCGATGTCACAAACACATAGTTTCACTGGGATGAACTCCTTTACCCTCCAGAAAATATCTTGGAATGGTCTTGCAACACATTTAATTGCACCGTGGTCTAATCCAGATAGTCAATAAAACACTATCTGTGCAGGTTTGACCCAGCTGGATAAACTGCGCAGGGAAGACCATCATCCATGACAATGGATGTAAGGTTAGCATGATGTGTATAGGTGTGATAGAATCTAGAGTGAGCAAAAAAGCTTGCTAATATAGTGAATATGTCCAGTCACAGTACCTGTTCTTTCAACCTGTGCCTATACAGAATGTATCTTTACTACACTGCTGTACTCAGCACTTCTGACAGAATCAGCAGTTACCACAGACACAAATCAGTACGAATGAAAAAAAACCCCAAACTCTTGTTCTGAGTTCAAGAGCAGAACATCAGAATATATGGAGCTTCTCAACAGCTGTGTCTTGATGTGCAGCATTCTACCTTCAACATCAAAATAAAACTGACCTGTGCTCCATTTGCAGGTCATGATAGATCACAGAGTCATAGAATAACAGGTTGGAAGGGACCTAAGGGATCATTGGGTTCAACCTTTCATGGCCAGTCATGGTCAGGACAAGATGGCCTAGCCAAATCTGAAAAGTATCTTATGCAGGAAGACTGCTTAGTGCAAACATTAGCCGTACTTCTGAATATGTTCCAGATTAGTTGGGGGGGG